AGGGTAATAAGAAATGCGTACTTTGCCGTGCGCTTCGAAAACAGATGGCTCGCGCTCACGCTGAATATCCGAATGTATCCAAGGCCCATAACGCTTGGGCAGGTGTATTTGATTTCTATTTTATTTGTGTGTAAATTCCATGAGTGACACGCACCGGACACTGATTTGTTGTCCATGTCGTGGATTCTACTACGTTAACCTCCATGATAAGGCTGGTAATCAAGTTATTCTGTGATAAGCATTAGAAAGAGGATGTGGGTGCTACTTTATAAACAATCGCGAGGACTCTAAATCCCGGTATACTTCGGTACGTTATGCGCCAAGTACTAGTATTACTGCGAGCAAAAGTTTGACTGTGGTTTTCTGAGATGACCCAACCTGTGGACATTGCCATTACCGTTATTTCAAGTGTGCGACTCGTTACAGTATTCTTGAGATAAATACGTCAACACAAAGCTTTGCCTTCTAATATTTGAGGACTGCTGTGTAAAATTGCGGTTTGCAAAACTGCGGTGCGAGAGAGTGACTGAGCTCCGCCGAGCAACGAAAGGGATCCACTGTATTCTTGCCCCGTTGGAACAATTTTGACATAATCACTTGACCCAAACACATGTGGCAAAAGCACCATTCTTATTATATATATTATATTACATACATATTCTCATCATATGATAATGAGCTAGTGCGATTTACTCTGGTGGGATGTATCATGTTTAAATCCCTTTTTTATTTTTAATATTTTCGTGATTCCTTTTCGGTATTTATTGACTGTCTAAAATGTGTTCTACCTCCAGAATATAATTACAGCGTCTAATTCCTTCCAACTGAGCCAGGATTCAAATTCTACCAGGCCTTTTCGAGTTTTTGCAAATAAATAGTGTATGTTGTTTAGAGCACCGATAAAATATCACTAGTTGTGATGAGAAAAAGTCGGAAATTGAGACGTTATTGTGACCTTTTTTCGACTAACTGATCTGTGATCTTGCACGATCCAGAACTACTCGTTTCGGGATGTTCCACGTAAGCTCTTCTTTATCATTTGTTTCTAGCGGGCCGTTCCCAGTTTGCGTCTCCATTTTAAAAAAAAACATTGGTCGTGTCTTTTTCGGGAGAGAACTGGGTGGAACGCTATTCCACGGCGTTCAACCTCGGACTTGGACAATAATCACTTGAGACGTACATTCTTCTAATTCCACGTGCCGCTCCCCATAGCCAGGGCAATCAACTCGGTCACTCAGGCTATATCGATGGAGGCTGGGGCCATGTCCCATCGCAATATTAGCTAACGTGTACAGAGCCCTTCGGGAAGCATCTTTGTGGACACCCAGAAACGTGACACGGTAGTTTTATTTTTAGGCGAATTTTCGCTTTTCCCGCTGCGCTCAGCTGAAGAGCCCATTTGCATGCTTGTCTTCTTTAATGTAGTGGCCAATAGGATCCCTTCACCCCACCTCTATTAGTTGTCAACTGAACATCGTGCGACGTCTCTGCGTTGCACAACAGGGAGGGATTTAGCGTCATGTTACCTCATTTTTCCTTGATTAGCGGCGTTCAAACTTTCCACGAATTCTGATTTCCTCGTAAACGATATGTATCATTCAGACGTTGATCACCCGGCTTAATTATGCATGTATAATTTTGTTAATTTAATTAAACTGGCAATATTTCAAGGGTTTCTACAGCCTCCTTTAAGGAAACAGTGCCCAATGAAATATAATATCTCACGTTGTCAGAAACTCTGATCACCTAAAAATCGGGTAAATTTTTGGAAACTACTGTTTAGCCTCAGCACAGGCAATATGGATGGCGATGCTCTCCACATACATGTGCCCACAGTGCCCAAGTGTATTATATCTGTCCCCACGGTGATTGGGTATCGGATATCTCCATGCGTTTTTGAACTTATCTTTAACCACGTTCCCGACGTATTTTTCGCTTTTCAATTACTCTGTGAACGCTTGAGCGCGTTTCCGCCCCACATGTGGTTGTGCTGTTGCGGGTATACGCTAACTGACCCGAAAAATGTATGCGGGCGCCAAATGGCCCACATGTACACACATGTACCACAAGCTGAGAAGATTGTAACCCACCTTTTGTGTGTTCATCCTTCCATCCGAAGTCTAATGCAAAACGCTGTTGCTATGACAACATTTTCTTTGGGCCTATATACATGCAACCTGCGGAAATGCTTGGCCCAAACTAGTGGATAGCATGCCGCCTGGCATAATCATTCTGTTACATTCAGAATGGAAGCTCGACTGGTGGGACCTGCGTGTACTGGGGATTGTGGGGTAAAGCGGCGGTGTCACGAAAAGTGGGTATTATCCGATGTAGACTTGGTGACGCCTAAGCCGGTATGGATAAGGTATACCAAGACTCTATGTTTTTGGGGAACATATCAATACGAAACAATACCAGACCATTAGGATTTAAAGGTGGTGGGCAAACACAGAACGAGGAATGACAGAACAAGGAGCACCCTCACTGGCACATGATTAGAAAACTTCAAATTGCGAAAAATGGGGAACCAGGCCGATGGGTCCGGTATAACAGCAGATTGTCATGATCTAGCGGGTCAGTTTGAACTAAGGCCTGAAACCACCGATGGGGACCTGCGGCCTTGCACTGTTGAGCTTACGACCGGGATCACAAGAGGGTGTAAGAACGTAGAGGAAGTGGTTACACAAAGGAGTGGTAGCAAGAACCTTTGTCATGGTGAAACTGTAGAGACGCAGTGGCTTTGCTGTTCAAGGAAGTGAGGTGGGAAGGTTCGTTGTGGGAGACAGTTGATGCTAAATCACAAAACAGAAGACAAACTGCACAGAAAATGTCTGACTTTGTGAGGACATAGAACCAAATTACAGAGGTTTTTAAATGCAAAATGGCTTTAGCGAAATAAAATATCCGTGTTTCGGAGGCTTCTGGGGCCAGACGAAGAGGTTGTAAGTAGTTGCAGCTCAGGGAACAAGTTAGCGATAGGGCACTGTCAAAAGTAGGGGGTGAATGGCCGCGGGTATCCTATCAACCTTGGTATGGCAGTGCGGTGCCACAACTGCGCTGACATACTTCGGTTTCTGGCAAGCCCTGTCACGGACGTCATGTTTAAGAGGATCGGGCTGAGATAATTCGGAGATCAGTGGGAGTTTTTTATGGGCCAAGGGAATCCACAGGGGTGGAGCGAAGCCAATCTAAGGTAGCAGTTATATATTTAGACAGGATGGAGATTGCTCCAAGTTTAAGGCACAGATCAGGTTGATTGGCGGCCAAACAGGGTGTTTTAATCAGGTATCGCCGACGGTCGGAGCCTGAGGAAAAAGAAAAGTGGATAGGATCGCTAGAGCCTAATGAGTTGTAGGGAGCTTCAGATTGGATAGAGTCTACGAATAAGAAAAAACAGAATGTTTAAAGTACTCGTGATGGTGACAACAGGTGATTAAGAGGGACAATATAGAAGTATACTTGTTCATAGTAGCCTGGGTAAATGCGCACAAAACGTCTAAACATTGTGCTCACTTTCCTTTGACCATCAAACATAAGCGATACAAGATAATATTGGTTGCTCGGGTAGCATAGATGGTCGTTCTTTTTCCCGCTGAGCTGAGCTACTTGATTATGTTTGATTGAAGTATAAGTTAGGCCGCTCGCACAGTATATGCAGTCATACAGAAGGCAAATTCACGTAGAAAACAGCGTGTTATCAGATCAGTGATTTATCCCTATTTACCTCCGCAGGTCGACTGTTACCGAGTAACTTAACTACGTGGCAGTTTGATTTTTCCGCTGGGGACCTCCGTTGGCATTTTTCTACCCGTCTGCACTCGCCACAGCGTATGCGTAGCTAACTTAACTTTTGACAGTGTAAGCGGCCTGACATTGGGCTGCGTTCTGCCGGTCCGGCTGGACAGTGGCTCGCATACTAAAACCCATTATACTTCGGTATGTATATATACCGAATGCATCTCTCGACGGATCACTGAACACACAACTGCGCATGCTTGACGTGGTAGGTCACACCAACGCTCATCCATAGCGCACTCGCCCTGAAAAGTACTCAAATCTCATTCTCATCGGTAGCCGTCATTTCATTTGTCTCCTTCGCGAACTGCCTTTAACAGCACCCGTTCGTTGTTTTCTTGCTTGAAATGACCGAGCTACGCACTGATGCTTTTGTCAAAGACAGCTTGCCAACAATGTGTTCCCGTGTATGTGCAATTCATGGTTGTACGTGGGCAGGACACTGCCAGGGCGCCCACACCTCAACCAAAGCCTTTGGCTCAAAAGCCTAACCGCATGGCAGCGGTGTTTGGCGGGAAATGCAAATGCATTACCATTTCTACGGAACAAGTCGCCACATGGTCCAACCCCCAACACGGAGGGCCAGGAGGTTGTGTTCGTTAGACCTCTAACCAATGACCAACCTGGCATGAGAGACTCTGTGAGTGTCGCGGGACACCCTACAGTGAAGCATCGGTGTTGAACACTGATATCATGCTGTCGATGATGATGACGATCAATGTGCTCCCGTTTCCAACCCCATGTGTTAGCCAATCCCCATATTTATTCCTCTTGGCCAGATGAACTGAAACCCTCTTGTTTTACTGAACTATTTTTATAATTCTTACGGACTTTGGTCGGACATCGTGATTTTGCGGTTGCTCGCCGTCGATATCTGTTTGGTTGTGGCGACATCGATTTTGGGGCGAAGTGATCTGCATCTATCATCAGGCTGGTAATTCTACCGCCTTATTTTGTAATCTTACGGTATCTGCAGAGGAGAATCCGTTGAGGTTTATTGAATATGTATATTATTATATTTGCAATGGTACCTTGATTCCAGAATTTGGATTTCTTGGTCGTTTTCCTGATTTGGCACGCGTGACTCAAACTCAGAAAGCAGATAGCCGTAACGGTACTCAACGGTTCCAGTATTCAACGGAGTGCAGATCTAGTACACAGCGATCTACGGTGCCAGTACTCAACAATCGAGGAACTCGGAGAAGATGGAGAAAGCCCCTTCAATTGATCTCTATCTACCCGCGGAATCGGGGCAAGGCGGCTGTTCTGGCAATTCTTTAGCTATCGGTTCATCTACTGGCTCTGAATCACCTAAGCATAAGAAATTAAATTTAACTGCGTTGTTGCGAGCGCAGAATAGGGCAGAGGAAGTGGAGAAAGAATTTCAGCTTATGCGGGCTCGTAATGAGGTGCGTCTAGCGGAGTTAGAGCTGGATTCGGACGGTGCTTCCGTCGTTGATGTGCAGGTTGACCCGCAGGATAAGGTAAAGGATTACCTAGCCGGGGTTGTAAGTAGCACGCCCATGTGTGAGGCACTAGCGGTCCAACCGACTTCTTGCGTGGTTAAGGTAGACCTACCTAGAGTGGACTTATAGGCTTTCGACGGCAACCCAAGGTGCTATTGGAGATCTATTCAAGAGTTCAAATTTCACATAGAGGATAGTGTGCAAGATAGTGGACAGAGGATGCTATATGTGATTCATTACTGCAGGGGTCCTGCGAAAGAAGCCGCGGCTGAATGCGTAATGTTGCCTCCTGAGATTGCTTACGGTAGAGCAAGAGAAATACTTAAGGATCTCTTTGGGAGGGAACATATGGTGGCCAGAGCCATACTGGACGATCAGTTCAAGAAATTGAAACCGTTGCATGACGATGCAGATTCACTGTCTCGTTTATCGATAAATCCTCAAAACTGTCACGTTTCTCTAAGTCAAATGAATCATCCTAGTGACATGCATCCCGTCTCAACCATAGAGCGAATTCTCCGCACGTTATCGAAGGATGCTCGTCGAAACTGGGCAAGGTTGGCTGACTCTATGGGCAACCTTGGAAAACAAATAGGTTTCTCTGACCTACGCAACTTCGTTTCTCAAGCAGCCCGAATCGCTCGCAGCCGCTGCGGTATGATTACCACAAGCTCAGAATATCATCGTCCTTAAACGCATCGAAAGGCGCCATAGTGTATTCGCCGTTCAGAAGGGAAGCGATGACTCGAGCTCTTTTTGCGACGAAAGACATGGACCGGCGCAGTGTCGTTGGTTCACTGACTTGCCAATGCAAGCAAGATGGAGTGTGGTGAGAAGGAAGCGGTTATGTTTTGTATGCCTAAAATCATGCCATGCCAGTATCAAATGTGATTCTCTTTAGAAGTGTGGTATAGAGAACTGCTTGCTGTCTCACCATCATCTGTTGCATGTAATGCCGGATGCCAACAAATCCACTTTAGTTGGTTTGTGCAACTCGACATCTCAGACGGAATCAGGAACCTGCATTGGCGTCGTACCGGTTTGTGTGAATGGTCCGCAAGGCAGCGTTCTCACGTACGTATTGTTGGATCGTGGGTCGGACGTAACATTGGTTACGAAGGACTTGCTTGATGAGGTTGGTCTGACCCGGAACTCCAACAACTTTGAATTTATCTACAGTGAGTGGGACCTCCACCGTGCAGGCTACAAGTCTCAGAATTGAGTTTGAATCGGCAGATTCAGGTGAGACCGTAGTGACTGAGCAGGCCTTTGCAATACGCTATCTGCCCGTCAGCCCATCGGTTATGAGCCCAAAGAAGATAGCTAGTCAATATAATGACTTGAAGGATACTACCCTTGTGGAGTTTCTAGATAAGCGTGTGAGAATATTGATAGGAGATGTTCCAGGGGCACATTGGCCTATGGAGAAGAGATTGGGCAAGCAGAAGGAATGTTACGCTTTAAAGACACTTTTGGGTTGGGTCCTAATTGGTCCGTTGTCTATAGGACATAGAGTCTGGAGACATGTGCACCATGTAAGTATGAAGAAAGATGACATCACTGCTCATCTTAAGGCTCCGTATGAGGCTGATTTCAACGATTTAGAGATTCCGGCCGTATGCCAAAGTGTCGAAGACAAAGAAGCATTTTGTATCATC